TCGCAAGGTTGTCTTCATACATTAAATGATTCACTACTATACTTCCAACCATACATCCAGTTCTACACATATTTAACTCATTAGAGAGATCATTCATGTAAAAAATGAACAAAATCGGGGACAGCAGACCACCTTGTCTTACCACGTTGCAAGTCTGAAAGGGTGCAGATATACAGTTATCCCATCTAACTAGCATCGTCTCGTGGGCATACCAATATGACAAACATCTCACTATATATTTAGGCACTCAGGCATCACACAATTACTGGATCCACATGATCGAAAGTCTTAGAGGCATCGAAAAAACACATTAAAAACTGTAGAATTTTTACTTTTATATTTACTTACTAATTCTTTTAATGCAAATATACACATATCAGTGCCATGATTGGTTTTAAACCCAAATTGGTTCTCAGTGAAGCCAATAAGATTGTGAAACCTACTCAAGAGAATTTCTTCAACAACTTTAGAAAGTATATTTGCAAGTGCAATAGGCCTATAATTATCAAAGCTGCCCACCTTTCCTGCTTTATCCTTCACCACAGGAGCAAAAAGCACTGTCATCAAGGAGTCAGGCATAAACCCATGCATAACAAAAGCAGTAAAGCATATGACTTGAAGAGGTGCCAACCTCATACTAGCATATTTAAGATGTTCTGCAGAAATGCGGTCCATCCCAGTAGACTTATTTGCAGACAAATTGCTTATTGCTTGGGAAACTTCATAGGTTTTAACAGTTTCAACAAAATCAACTCTACCTATAGAAAAAGTTTCACTTGGGACACTGTTAAATAAATCACAATAGTGGTGCCGCCAAAACTCAACTATCTTATCTGAACCAGAGATTCAATCAATAGTGTGAGGTAGAGAAAATCTACTGTTATTAATATATTTAAAGTCTTTCCAAAACGATTTCATACTATTCCTTATGAGTTTTTTCTTTTTTTTTTTTTATTGAAACAAAGAAACACATTAACAAAACCATACCGAACATGGGAGACAAGACAACAGTTACATGACATTACAAAAGGATATAGAGTGTTTAACGAGGTTGTAGTGTGTGGGTACTTGTTTGTAGTTTCCTGTCTGATTCTTACAGCCCACACATGTCTCCTATATTCTTAAAGACAAGTGAACTAGTTAAAACAAAAGTAAATCATAAAGCAGATGATACTAAAATAAACATGTAGATATATTTGCTAATGCAGATTATAATGTCAATCATAGAAGGCCAAGCATTTCATATAATGTTGATAAATGTTGATAATCTGAAGCCAAAACAACAAGACCTTATACCCACTCACAACTCTCGTGCAGACAGTTTAGTCATCTCAATATGCATCTGCGCACTTCCTGTTGTTCTGAGTCTCTGCACTTAGACACCTACTTACTGTACACACAGTATTTCTAGTGCACAGGTCAAGTCATTACAAAGGTCAAACAGATTAAACAATCTTTTAAGCAGTTTTGCAAACACATAACATATCACTATATCATTTTATCAAGAATTTCTTTCTACACTTGTTACATTTTTAGAGGTTGGTGGGAATGTGTGTGGCCTCAGCCCCAGGTGTTTGATTCAAGTTGAAATGTGTTAAAAATGGTTCCATGTGTCATAAAAAGCAGATAAACTATTCTTGTGAGTGGATGCCATTTTCTCTAATGTGTTTGTCTTTCTGACCAGCATACGAGCAGTTCTGTCCGAGAGTTTTCTTGGTCTTCCAGATCTCATCTTGACCTCCCCAGTTCCCCTGATCTGCCATCTCTTAATTACATTTCTTACTGTGGAAACTGCAAGCTGACAACGCTTTGCTATCTTCTTGTAGCCTTCTCCTGCATTGTGGGCATCAATAACTTTCATTTTCAGGGTCTTACACAGCTGCTTAGAGGAACCCATGGTTGCTGGGTGTCCGCAAGTGTGTGCACAAGGTTTGAAGAGTCAAGGTATTTGTACAGCTTTGAAATTGGCATTTACCAATGACAGCTGTTGCTGTGCATCAGATCTACCGAGCTGATTAAGGTCTGAAACCTTGTGAGAGACTTTGAGACTCTGGAACTCTTAGGGTGCCCAAACTTTTGCACCATGCCATAATAATGTTTTTATTTTTTATTTTTGTTCAATTTATGGCATAAGAAGTAACTATGCATCACTGTTTGCTGAAAATATTGTGCATTTTTTCCATTTCCAAGAGAAACTGTGTTAACATCTGTTCAAATAAAAAATCACCAAAATCTGTTATTTATCAAGGGGTGCCTAAACTTTTGCATAAGACTGTATGCCAAGCTTCACTTATGTATGTATAGCTCTGACTTGGCAAGAACTCTCTACTAGACAAAATCAGATTATTATCAGCACAAAAATGCACCATATGCTTCGCAAAGAGAGTTCTTGTCTGAGATATTTGCATTCATATCACCCATAATATATATATATATATATATAATTGTAAACCTATCACACTGTATAAAAGAACTAATAAAATCAAGCTTGTTCAAATACTCCTCTTCATTTTGGCTGCATTCATAAGGGGCATACACATTTAAAATCACAAATTCCTTATTGGCCTGTATCAGGCGTATTGCAATACCCCAATCTACATCAAGCCTAACCACAATAATCACTGAGTCCATCCTCTTAGACCACAAAATAGCCACACCTCCAGGAATTCTTCCTTGCTTAATTCCGAAACCAAGGTGAGTAGTTGACTCTACAGCACTGAGGAAACTATCATCAATGGAGTTGAGTCCATTAGGTCCTGCTTAGCGAGAAAGGTCTCTTGTAGACACAAAATGTCAGTGTTCCAACAACTCATCAACAACAGCGCTGCGAGCTTTATCCTCCACGCTCTGAATTAAGCGGAGGCCACAACAGTTGTATGATATTACTTTAAGATCCACAATAATTATTTACTTGAGCTTGCATTTGCACCAAGAGAGAGCATTGCTCGGGTAGGAAGAGCAGCATTAACACTACCAGCGGTTTTACTTGGCTCATAATAATGCCTCACAAAAGGTACCCTCAGGCCACAGCTCTGGATTATACATGTCGTCTACTTCGTTACATTCAGCAGATACTTTGAATGAAGCATATCTGATGTCAGCGAAGCTGTAAATACGGGTCCCAGAGAGAACCAAGAAACAGAGGAATCAGGGAGGAGAGGCAAGGAGTAGGCCTTGGTGCCCTCCGCAGCGGGTGGAGGAGGTGTCAGCAAGGCTGTAAAAATGGGCCTCAAAGAGCACCGAGATACAGAGAAGGCAGAGGAGAAAGAGGAAGTTCCAGGGGAAGTTGGAGAGGACAAAGGAATTATTATTAAAATGCTGTGGCAGAATGCTTAGGAAAGTTAAGCTTTTAATAATTAAAGATGATCATAAGATGATTTATGTGTTTTGTTTGAAATAATTATTAGTACATGTGCAAGAATAAAATGTGAAATAATTGTATTACAAGGATGGGGAACACTGATTTACATCTTACAGAGTGAAAAGTACAGAATCACACAAGAGGAAGTAGACACACATCCCTAAAATGAGGGACTGCAAAGGTTCGTGTGTGCCTGCCACACAGAGCAGAGACACACAGCATACTGAGGAAGTAACAAAAATGATGTTTCAGGCACAAAAGTAAAGATTTGACTGATAATTGTTTGATCAATGTCTAATCAATGATAATTTATGTTTAGTCAAGTAATGTATTAAAAATATAAAGATTTATGTTTTGATTTTAAGGCATTGATAGTTTTGTCTGAAATCAGTGTAATTCTGATTGTTCTGTTAAAAAGCAACAATGGAATTTTAATATTTCAGTCAAATGTGAGTTTCTTGTATTTTTGTTATGTACTCAGATGGTTTAGTTTTCTAGAAAAGAGGAAGTAGAATCCAAGGCTGGATCACAGTGGGGCAGAGGCCGGTTACAGGCAGTGGGCTTGGACTGACAGTAAAAAATATGCAATACTTAAGAACAATATGATTTTGCATGCCAAATAACATATTAACTGCAAACTGCGGCATCTGGTTGGATGAGAGGACAAAAATCACTGACCAGAACCCTATAAAGGGATAGCGTTGTTAGCCTCCACTGAGTCCAACAACACGCCACCATCGTCTGCGCACAATTCCAGCGCGCATACCTGCTTGTTCATATCTGCCGCAACAGCCCGCAGTCCGTCGCTGGCTTCAGCTTGCAGGTGAGCAGCTTACTTCATGGCAATAATTTCAGCGTAAAGATGCTCACACACGTCCATGTTGGTAAAGGTCAGTGGTGGCAGTTCATCTAAGAAGTGAGACACAAATCTAGGGATATCTTCCCCACACTCATTCAATACCACGAGGCATGCCTTAACGTTGTTAACATCTTTGTGTGCTCCCTTATAAGAAACGTTATGCTGGGTAGTGGCACAGACTACAAAAAGCATTTTCTTTGAGGCCACAATCCACTCTGTATCAGAAGTGTTAACTGCCAGCAAAACAATCGCATCCTGACTAAAAGAGAAGAGAAGAAGTGCAAAAACTCATCCTCTACTATAACTTTGCCATCAATGGTTGTATAAATCTCAGGTTTTAGTCGACCCTTAGCAAACACAGGAGCTGCAGGAACACGTGCATCAGCCATCAGAATGTGACAGGCCTGTCAGAATGTAACATTGAGAGCTGCTGTCTCAAGATACAAACCACTGGCTCTCTTTAAGCTGGTTAACACACACCCTGACATTTTTACAAACCAGCTTTCTTGTAAGAAAAAAAAACTAGACATCACTCAGAGTATGAACCTCCACCAGTTGTTAGAACACATCTTTAGATGCAAGGTGGGCTTGTGCAACAACACATACCGATGAATTCTGCAGAATGCAGTTGGAGTAACATGGGTCGGTGGTGAAGTGCCATTTACATTTGGATCTTTGCATCCATCGTCCAGAACTGGGTGTAAAGGATCTTAGCATCCATC